TTGAACTGTGTGATGACTGACCTGCTCTTTTATCAAATAATAATCTATCCATCGTGTTCAGAAAACTTTGAAGACTTAGTTTATATATAAGTAGTTTTTAAACCGACTTCTGTGAATTTTTTGCTGTTTGATAATAATTTATGCAATACGGTGAAATTTAGCTGAAAGCAGTTTTATTTTAAAGAAAAAAGATGGATTTTTAAAATTTTAACTTACAATGTGTAAAAAAACCGACTAATCTCTAAAGTGATTGCTACACTAGTTTAATGTATGCGGAAATAAACAAGTAATAGAAGATTTTGCAGATCGTTTTATGTTTAACCATAAAATACACATCATTCTTTTAGTTTGAGATGACTTTGTTTTCCTCGTATTAACTATCGAGGTCGTAATTTCGACAACTAAAACTTAACGAAGAAATAAAACCACAAATATTACAGAAGGCAGCTAGTGGATCTACTTTCGCACAACAGAAAAAATGAGATACGAGTTTTATTATTAAATATCGTTTTACATATACTAAAATTGCTAAAAATTCTGTGATGTGAACATTTTTTAAAAATAAGATAGAGATTAGTTTTATATCGTTGGCACAAAACCTCTGACGCATTGTTCAGTTGTAATAGTTAATAGGACAATAAAGTCATTGACTTCCATGTAATATCCCCATAAGCAAATGCAATACGACGAAATAAACAAGTTTAACTTTTGTCAAATATCAGCATTTGCTTATAGCCAAAGAAAATTAATTATGGGTATGAGCCAGTTTGGACATCATGAAGTTTGAACACTAAATCAATATTGTCCTAAAAGCTATACTGTAAACGTGTTTAATTCTCTGTAATTACAGTAAAACTATTATAAGTGTAGGGTATTACAAGTGACAACTTGGTCCATAAAGGACCTGAAAACATTCCAGTAAAACTTTGGCTCTTTATGAATGAAAAGTTTCTTAAAAACATCAGATTGACAACTATTATTTTGAAATTTAAAATTGAATTAAAATTTTAGAGACATGAGAATGTAAGAAAAAATTAAAATTTATTTGCTTATTACACTGTTCTATGTCCCCAAGGCCTTCACTCATTTCGTATCTCGGTTATTTGCTTATTTTATAATATTCTTCAATATCACGTGTTCACGTTTGCGTTTGAAATCACATATGTATTTAAAACAAGTGTCATAGAAGCGTTAGAAACAATTTTGTTTGTATAGGAGGAACTAAACAGTTTTCTCCTTTAATTTTAAGATAATCTTGGATTCGAGAAGAGTTCTTCAAATAGCCGTTAGGATGTTTCGGACTTAAATTGATTTAATAAAAACCGAGAAAGCGTCGTCGTTAGACGCTTGCAACACCTGTGCGGTAGTTATATACTTAATATTTGCACATTTAAGAAAGGAAAAAGGGGATTTAATGACATAAAACAAAATTAATTTATCTGCTTTCGATTTCAGATTTAAAACACTGTAATGTTGTTCTAATCTTTTCAAGAACAGAACGTCATAAGAAGAGGTAAATGTTAGAAATCGACGCTATCTTGCCGGCTTGAAAAATCTATTGAAAATATTTTTCATGTCAGATGACTGATTTTTTTCCAACAAAAAGAACTTTTTGAAACGAACAGTTCAGATTCGAAGAAGGGATATTTACGATTCATGCTGTTTTGACAGTTGTGAACAATATTTTGTGTGGTTTCATTGAGGAAAACTAATCTTTTCCAGTTGACCTGGCGAAAGTCATTGACTCCGTTGATCGCGCGTTATTTATTACTAAATAAATTCGAGTTTTATGGAATCAGAGGAGCGTCCTGTGAATTAACAAAGTCTAACTTAAATCGAAGACGTTTACACTGTTTATTAAAATAACACCTTACTTCCACAGAGCAAAAGAGACTAATTACTCTGAAACACCACTTCGATTATTTCAACATACTTATATATTTACAATTAACTTATAAGACATTACTAAAAAGATTGCAGTTTGCTAATTGACTTTATTTATGTTTTACATCGCATTTCTACAATTACATGGAGATGAAGTCTGATTTTGAGTTTTCAGAGATAGGGGGATTCGCCAACTAACAGGAAAAATTCAAAAGGGAAAGTGTCGTTTCTATTAAACAACAGTAAAAATGTCAAGTGAATTTTCAAAAAACTATACTTATACTACCACTGAAAATTTCCCTAAAATTTAGTACTGCCTGATTCAGAATTCTTATTATACTTCTCTTTATAAAAGAATCCTACATGATTAACATGATCTTTCGTTGTCAGTGTTCATTATTTAAAAGAATCAGTTCTAGTAGCAAGTAAAAATGTGATATTTATTTTCAAAGGTAATTAATTTAGTGTTTTTGGTGTTGGTATTTTTAATAAACAAATAATTTACAAAACTACCCGACAAATACTGATTAGTCTAGTAAATAAACTAGCGTGCTTTATAAATTTGTTATTTGTGATTTACAAATACTTTTGACTTGACGCATGCGGGTTATTGGAAATCAATCACAACATTTATTTAAACAAAAATTATTAAATGAACCTGAAAACGGAGCTCTTACATGTACGCAGAAGTTATTATGTTTGGAAGGCGACCATAATTCTGTCTTAAGTAAAATTTTTGGCTAGAAACGGAGAGAATGACCTTGTTATTTTGCTTAAAATATCATAGAATTTGAAAATGTTGTATACATTTTTTGTAAACGAAAAATTATATTGATTAAACAAATAAATTAAAGCATAGAGTTAATTTCGATCTAATTAATTTTTAAAACTTTAATTATTATCTTTTTCGTTCTTGCCTGAATTTGTGAGCTAAAAGCTTTATTTTGTTTGGTTATTTGATACCATATTAAACAACATAAAATGAAAGGCTTGTGATACATTTCACTAATGGACTTAAACAACCTTAATAAATATTTGATGTGCATACCTTTTTAGAGGGACCCTTTTAATAATAATAATCCAAGTGTCATAAATAATGCATTTTTGGTGTGTCAACTGAACAGAATTTTTAACGACACATAATTTCAGTTCTTACAGCAAATACGTATTATTTTATTAGTAGTATAAGTGACGGAATATGGATATTTAAGCGCTGAGCGACGACGAGGTCTATAAATCCATGCGGCTTACATAAAGTTACCTCTATACATAAAATATAATTTTTAAACTGGAACTGAGTATTACTATTAAATAAGCACAGCATAACTTTTTAATTTTAACCGTAGATTTTGCCTGTTTTTGAGTGTTTCATACGTTCTTAGAACTCGTAAGTTATTTTATAAATTATGACTGACGGAGATCTTGAATGCCGTCACTCCGCCGGAAGTTTCAGCAGCAGCAGGAGCAGCGTTGGAAAATCTATTACATAGTTTCTAAATCGCGAGCAGTTTACGAGCCTCTTATCAACGGTTTTTAAAATATTGCGAGGAAAGAAACATAAAAAATTCTCCCGTAATGTACCACTGAGTTATTTTGCGGAATAAGCAAATGTATATGCAACGAAAAGTTTCTCATTGTGGAGGCACTTATTCAGTGGTGAGACCACTGCTTCGTATTAGGCAGAAAATGGACCATTTGTAAAAGCATGAACGGGAAAATAATAGGGCTATAAAATCAGCTGTTCTGACTAAGAATTAGTTCGTCACATTTTTAACACAGACACTCAATGAAAAATATCTGAAAACTAAAGTAATTATACTCAAAGTATTTTACTCATCTGGAAAAAAGCACGTGTTTCCCATTTGTCCTATTTTTGGGAATTGTCAGAACATAGAACATGAAACCACAGGATATTGAAGATCATGGTTCCATTATTGACGTAAACATTCTTGATTATAAATTATGTAAGAAAATATTATACATGCATATGTAAATTCGTTCCAGGTATATAGAAAATACCCTTACAACTAGCTAATATATCTGAAGAACGTTTTGTTTTTTAATGTGTCAACGGAAAGTGCATTCGAGATGTGAAGCAGATTGGAAGCGTAGTAAAGGAAGTGGTTATAGTTTTACAAACTTCTCAGTGTGGAAGAATTCACTGGTCACTGCTCAAGACGGATCTCGGTACACAACTGGACTTTCAATTTTACTTTCAGTAAATAATAACATTTAATAAACTTATATCTGACTTGATATGTAACTCGAGTCATAACAGCTGGCAAGTATATACAGTTTTGGTCCTTCGACACCACCCAAAATTAATATCATATGAACGATTTGTCAACAGTGTACTTAATTCAAGTGACACCGGACACGGGATTCTTGGAGCAGCTCGATATTTCAATTTTTCTTATGAACCTTTTTCTCAATACATATAGTTTGGTCCCAGAATATTAAGTACGTGTTGTCAAGTTCTGCTACCAAAGTTTTGTTTTCAAAGTTTGATAAACTAGCAAGAGACTGCGACTTAAACTTCAGAAAAGTTTATTGTTCGAACGATGTGCGACTGTCTACTGTTTTATAAATAAATAGTAATTAATTTTTATTAATAGATTTGTAACTAACTAAAAATGCTTTTTGTTTGTTAGTAGAGTTTTATCTCTATTTAAAAGAAATCCTGAAATTGAAAACATGATATTTGTCTTTATAATTTACAGTAAAAGAATTACTTATCCTGGACGATTATTTTGCGTGAGCACCCTCATCAGGCAGATAATAGGAGGGGCTTCATATTAAATCTAGCTTGACGAAGGTAGATCCATTTAATTAGGGCCGTCACTTCTCTTCATAAGAAAAACGAGAAAACCATTACTTTTAGCATAAATTTATTTATTCATTAAATTTTCACGGCACCTTAATGTATACCTTCCTCGCAGCAGCGAGTTACTGTTATGGCTCCAGCTGACAACTTAAACCGGGTTATCCTTAACGCGCCCACCGGAGATGTCGTTGAATTTCAAATTTGCGGAACAAGACGGATATGTAGAATCCTCCAAAAGATGCTGTGAAGACCCGATAGTGGAATTGTTAAAGGCATTTTTATCTTGTTGCAGGCGTTAGGCAGTCACGCTCCCATTGTGCCGACGAAGATTCTTGGTGATCCCGTCGAACTTGACAGACACTTGATCGAAAATGGATATGCAGAAACTTCAAGTCATCATCCTCCGTCCTCTTTTTCGTCACCGTTTATTTACACAGCAAGCCAGCACTCGAGCTATCAGTTGCACGTGAGTATCTGAAGTTGTTGGATAAGTTTTAGTAATAAAATCGGAATGACGCAATAAAAATTTCCAAACCTGCAAATTGTTACGCATTTTCATTTCCGGAACTTGCTGGTTATCGTGGTCATCCGCAATAAAAGCTGTCCTTTTGACTATAAAATTTAAATTGCGTTGGTTCCGGAAGACGTGTTGTTTTGGAGGGAAACATTTTCATGTTTTATAGGTACTTCGTATCTGTATAAAAAGATATTTATTGTCTCTGTTTAGGTGTTGCGTTAAACTTTCAAAAAGGGAATGGAAGAGTTATCGATTGTTCACGAGGATTTTATGTTTTGGTATAGGAAGACATTAATTGTTGTCAAACTGAATTGCTGCTGTCGTAAATCTTAAAGCTTTGCCTACAGCACACATTTGAATACCATTTCAACGTCTAAAAAAATTCCAAACTAAGCAATAAAACTAGGATCACAATAGCAGCCACTTCAAACTAAGTACACAGATTTCTGTAGTCCGTGGGAACTTACCAACACCAAAGCTTACACACAGAACCCGACCCACAAAAAATTCCACGATCGAGACAGTTATTGCTTATCTCAATACGTGAAGGTAAAAAACTGAAACTTGGGGTTTGGCAAATTATGCCTACGAATAAAATTTTTTATCCAAATTGACCCCATGAGCGTATATGCTCAATCTAAATATAATTGATGTGTGAATTTAGCCACTAATTTTCATTCGTTGTCGGTGTCTGATGCACGATCTTGAAGTTTTCATCCCCTCGGAACAGTGAAAGCAATGACGTTCACCTTACCCATAGCTGGGGTAATTTGAATTTGGCAACAGGTACACAATATGGATTTGTGTAAAACATATTTAAACTTACCCGATTCATTTAACGCATTATTCCAACGGAAAATTGTAACCGTTACAACTTACCATAAGTGTTTAAATTGTTCACTTTTCAATTTTTATTTTACACATGTCAAACAAATGGGGAAGATGTTGGAAGTTGAGGTATTCCTGTGTCTTGAAAAAAAGTGGAAAGTTAAAACTAATATAATTTTACAAATGTATCGATTAATTATTATTAAACCAGTTTGAATATGAAGTTCCGTTAAATCAGATCGTCAGTCAAGTTGAGTGAACTTTAAGTTGGAACTGAGACACTTTTTCATTAATTTATAAAACTGTGTCGTTTTCAGAAGTGATACCCTAAATTGCAAGTTCCCACAAAATACTTAACAAGTTGATGTTTATGACGGCAACAGGTATAAAACGATATGTTTTACTGAGATTACAATGAAACTTTTAGTAACAAAGAAACATTAGGACTCATATTTTATCACCCACTTTATCTACAAAGTGTTGGATGAAACATTTCTACAAATCATTGTTTTTGTTTTGTGTTCAGTAATGTTTTTGTCTAATTACTCATTTCAACACTGCGTAATGGTGCTTACAAATATTTTATGAAAATATCAACAGATTCAGAAAAATACTCTATTTTATTCATTTTCTGGACTAAGCAGAGCAAAAAGTGTTAAAACAAATCATATCTACTTTATGATTTATAGAGACGTAAACAAAAGTATGGTCTTTGTTATGGTATCAATGAATAGAATACAACACTTAAACTTTATGGTAGTAGTTGTTTACAGTTACAGTGCAATTATGAGAAGTTAAAGTGGGTACATTTACCTTAGTTTCATCACTATGTGCTGAATAGTTTGTAATAATCCGATTATAATTTGACGTCGATGCCTCGTTGTTAAAGTTATTGGAGGTGGACGGACCGGACTCTGTGTTAATTATACAAGCAGATTTTAATGCCGAATTTGTTATTGTTTTATTTTTATTTTCCGACGTTGAAAGGTTATTATTTACTGCACTTGCAATAATATTTACCACTGAACTAAATCGAAATTGAAACGTCAAAATTGACATTACTACAAATATAACACACGGTGTTGGGAATTGTGTATAAGGAGATCCATACGTGACTTGATATATGTGTGTTAAGTTGAGTTTATAGGATAGGAGTAGAAAAAATATACAGGGTGTTAGTAAATGCTTGCAACAAACTTTCAGAGCAAACGCATTACAAGAAAAATGACGGAATGCCAATTTTTCAATAATACATTGCATTATTTAAATGTGCATTGTTACATAGCAACATTAGGAATAGCAATCCGCTTTCTACCTATCGAGGGAATCGTTAAAAAAAAAGCAGTGTTGATTTGTTATCAAGTTACACCAACATTGTTCGGGTTGTTGAATGCCAAAATATGGCATAGAACAATATGTAGATATGCATTTTGTTTATGGGGAGGGTGGACAATCCTATAGTTGGAGCAAGACGATATGCTGAACGTTTTCCTAGGCGTGAAACCTTTTCTGCTGGGGATAAAAGGTTGCGGGATCAGTTTTACCTAAAAATCAGGAGCTCGGACGAGGTCGAGATGCAGATATGGTCAATGTTCAAAAGCAAATTATCAATCGTGTTGAAGAAGACCCGTCAGCTAGTACGCATGAAATTGCTGGAGAAGTAGGGGTTAGTCACTGGACTGTGTGGAGAACGCTACGAGAATCTGTTTTGTACCCGTACCACCTCCAGCGGGTCCAGAGTTTAGGTCCAAACGATTTCATTCCTAGACAAAACTTTTGCGGATGGATAGTGAACAACAATAATGAAACTTCCCGATTTATTTCTCCCATACTGATGACAGATGAACGCTGTTTTGCTAAGGATGGAATACTTAATTTTCATAATACTCACCGCTGGGCAGATGTCAATCCTGACGCGATTTACGAGACGCATTTTCAACATCGTTTTTCAGTAAACAGGCCACTGTTATTGGGATATGTACCTTTGAACATTCGACGAAGAATGTACTTTATGCACGATGGTGCTCCTGCGCATTTTAGTTTACATATGCGACAATTTTTTACGAATGTTCGTGGTGAGATATGGATTGGAAGAGGTGGCCCTATCGCTTGGTCACCCCATTCTCCAGATCTTAACAGTTGTGACTACTATTAATGGGGTTATATGAAATCAATGATTTATCGAACTCCAGTTACTAATTTAGAACATTTAGAAGCAAGAGTTATGATGGCCGCAGACCGGATTATTATTATTATTATTAATTAAAGAGGGTCACCAATAGGATCGAACCCAATTAAGGAGCCCTAACAAAACTAAAAAAAAAAAAAAAAAAAATAAAAATATAATAAATAAAATAATTATTCTTAACGAGAAACAGAGACCACAGGAAAACCGCCAAAAGAATTATAACAAAGCTCTAAACCCTATTAGATATTACGAGCGCTTAACCGCTAAAAACATACTCGTATATTTTTCTATTTCTTCTCGTCAATTAGTCTCTTGGTAATATTTGCACAAATTCTTTCTTAACTTAAATTTAGAATCGAAATGAATGTCTAGTTCTGGGATGTCTTTTAGTAATGTGTTATATAAACGCTGTATCCAACTTAACGGAGAGTTTGCCAGGAGATTTGTGCGGGATGTTTCAGGATAAAATAGCTCTAAATTTCTGGATCCAATAAGATGTGCTCTAAACATAATTGCTTGTAGTAAGTTAGGACTAACTGATGTACCATTAACTAGTGACCATAAAAACAATATTCCCATTATTTTCCTGCGATATTCTAAAGAGTGTAGTTGAAATCTGTTCAGAAACTTCCCTTGGGGAAGACCACGGATTGGATAGACACCGTCTAGGCGATATACAATGCATTTCAGAAAACGCCGTTGTACGTTCTCAAGTACACTTATACCAGTTTGTGTTACTGGATTCCATATGATGGAAGCATGCTCTAATTTAGATCGTACCAATGTCTGAATAAAGGGTTGTCTCATAATTTAAAAAAAGCTTTGACGAACGAATTACTAAACCAAGTGCCTTGTAGGCTTTAGTAATAATGTTATCAATATGCTTATTAAATGTCAATGATTTATCAAAAGTAACCGCAAGATCCTCAACAAACTCTGGTCTTTCAATAACGTGAAATCGAGCACTATAACTAAAATTGAGTAGCGTCTTCTTCTTAGAAAAGCTCATTATGTGACATTTTGTTCGATTTATTTTCATGTTGTCCGAACACCACTCAAGGACTCTTGTGATATTATTTTGTAAGTGAAGACAGAATAGTTTTAAATTGTCAGCATAGACGACAAAATTAACATCAATTACTGTGTGGACGTCGTTAATAAATATGTATATTAAAAAGTAGAGGCCCTAGGACAGACCCCTGAGGAACGCCAGATTTTTGGTGATAATAATTTGAAGTGTGATAATGACATTGAACGTACTGAAAGCGATTTGACAGATAGGAGGCCAAGAGATCAAGCAGGGAGTGACAAAATCCAAATGAAGAGAGTTTCTTTAAAAGTATATTATGATCCAATCTGTCAAAAGCCTTTTCCAAATCAATATAAAGCACGCCCATTTGACTGGACTTATCTAAAACTCTACATATAGTCTGTGTAACACTAGCAAGATTAGTTAATGTTGGTCGCCCATGTACAAAGCCATGTTGATTATCGGTGACTCGGATTCAACCGATTTACTTATTCTTATGAATATAATTGTCTCAAGGACTTTCGAAAAATTCCTTATAACAGAAATACGCCCATAGTTAGAAATATTAGACTTATCTTCTTTTTTCAAGATGGGAATAACTTTAGAAATCTTTTTTGAACAAAGTTTTTAACTTATAAAATACAGTTCTTGTATTTCTTAATAAACTATGTATTCTACCTTTTTTTTTGCAAAGCAAAGGTAGAATACAAATTTATTAAAAGATAACTACTGGACCATCGAAAAATAAAAAGTTAATGTTGGAAGTTGGAGTGCTAGGTAGTGTTTAACACCAATTTTTATCTGATTTTTTGAGAATACTTCAACTTGTTACTCTACTTTCTAGGATTTTTTTTTAATTTTCTAATAGTAAAAAAATTCGTAAAAAACAGAACATTTAGTATA